GGGGAGGGGAAGGGGAAGGGAAGGGGAGGGGAAGGGAAAAGGAGAATGGGGAGGGGAGGGGAAGGGGGAGGGAGAGGGGGAGGACGAGGGGGGGCTGGCCTCCACACTGGAGCCCCGCACACCGCTGGATCCAGTGTGCTGGAAACTAGGTTTTCTTTTCCTGGTTGTTTGCATGTCAGTTTAGACTTCTCGTGGACATCACGGTTATCGTATGTGAGAACTCTGACCTCTGTTGTAATCTCACAAAGAATATTGATTTTTTAGCAGTCAGTTTGGATTCAAAGCCAACGGAACTCTGCGCAGCCTCCGTGTCAGTTCAGCTGCTCCGACCCGGGCGGCCGCTCGCAGCTCCTCCAGCCACGCTTGCTGCGCGGCGGCCGCACTCGGGCAGTGCCTCTTGGGCTCTCTTTACCCCATTCTTTGCTGACTGCCCAGCAGAGCAGTTTCCTCGAGCTTTGTCCTCCCATTTGGCTGGTCAGACACAACGTGGCCTTCCTCTGTGTGTGTGTGTGTGTGTTTGTGTGTGTGTGTGTTCTAGAGCATATGGTAATAAGGTGGGGAATTGATAAATTAGTTATAGTGAATCATAATTCCCAATTTCTATAAATTAATAATTCCACTAGTGGGCCAGCGAGATAGCTCAGCGGACTAAAGCGCCTGCTTAGGCAAGTGCAGGGACCGTAGTTCAATCCCGAGCTGGCCCTGCCCCTGGGTACGCTGAGCCGGCCAGAGTCCAGGCGTACTGGTGCGCGCCTGTAATTCCAGCGCTGGCAAGTCTGAAAGCAGGAGGATCACCACGAGTCCGGGCTGTGTAGTGATACCCTGCAACAACCAAATACATTAAATAATAATGATAATAAAAATGATGATGAGGATGACGATGATGATAATTCCGTTAGCTTTTCCTACTATGTTATTTGGTGCTCCCTAGAAATATGTGAATAACAGTGGTGGCGGGTGTCACCTGTCATAGACTAGTAGATTATCACTAACAGGGGTGCTGGCTGTTGCTTTTACATAGGTATAGTTTTTTAAAATTAATATAATAAACAAAATATAAGAAAGCATTCTGTAAAGTTTTATCAATAATAGCTGTTGAATTTATCAAATGTGCTTATTGTGTACAGCTATTACAATAACTAGATTGTTCTTTCCCCTTTTTTAGCCTATTATATGGTGAGTTATAACCTATCTAGTAGAGCCTCTAAGTTCTTGTTATTTGGCCATTGGGAATTGTTAATAAATATAGTGTTGATTAGTATTTTATTTTGGATTTGTGCACAATCCTGGAGTCACAGTGAGTTTAGATAGTAGGTGCACTATATTATCGTTCCAGACTTTGGTGTGAAGAGTATCCCAATTTATAAAAAGAACTTAAAAGTTGGGTTTATTTATTTTTTTTTAATGTATTTTAGTACAGGGTCTACAGAGTTTCAATACACAGATCCGACTCATAGTGATCCTCCTGTTTTCAGCCTCCCAAGCACTGGGATTACAGGCACGCACCACTGCGCCCAGTCTCCTTTGCCTTCTCAGCACACCCTGGGGCGGGGCCACATGGCATGTGGTGCCCGTGACTGAGCCCCTGGTCCCTGCATCTGCCTAAGCAGGTGCTTTAATCCACTGAGCTATCTGGCTAGCACTTATTTTTAAAGTTAATAGATATGTTGCAAGAGAATTATTTATTGCATGGAGGTTATTGTTTTAAAAATTTGAATTTGTGGGGCTGTCAAGATAGCTCAGAGGGGGCTGGTGAGATGGCTCAGTGGTCTAAAGCACCTACTTAGAACAAGCTTAGCAAAGCACAGGGACCGTAGTTCAATCCCCAGCACCACATGCCAGCCAGCCCCGCCCCCTGGTGGGCTGAGCTGGCCACACATGCACACACACACATAAATAAATAAAAATTAAAAAAAAAAAGATAGCTCAGAGGTCTAAGATGCCTGCTTACCACATGCTGTGCCAGCCCTGCCCCCAGGGTGGGCTGAGATGGCCAAAAAATTTTTTTGAATTTGCATATGCAAATGGCACCTATTTACAGGCCACAATGTGGCATTTGATGTGCAACTACAGGCTATAATGATCCAGTCGCTGTGACTGAAACATCTCCCCTCCAGCATTTATTATGCATTTGCGTTGGAAAATTCAGAGTCTTCTACACCAGCTACTTGGAAAGGTTTAATAAATGATTGTCTCTGACGGTCACCCTGCTTTGCTATGAAAGCACCAGAATTCAACCCTCCCACCCAGCTGTTTTTGTTTAGTGCCGTTGTGGCGTGGTTTCCGGGGCTGGGCGTGGGATGCGGGTTCAGCACGGCGGGGCGGAGGCCTCAGCGTCAGCCCGCCGCAGCCCCGCGCCGCCCTCCTGTGTTTCCATGCCTGTCGGCCGGCTCTTCCCTGTTCCCCTGCTCAGGCATCTGGCACCTGCTCCTCAACTCTCGCTTCTGTGACAACTTGTTAGCTTCTGCACGGAGCGGCAGCACATGGTGTCCGCCCTGTGCCTGGCCTGGCCCGCCTCCTGTACAGGCCTCTGGGTCCATCTGTCCTACAACGGTGACATGATGGTCACGCTTTTGTGTCTGAATAATACCTCATCACGTTATGTGCTCGGGCGTTTGAATCCGTGTCTGTCTCTCCATATCTTTCTGACGCGAATAAGCACGAGAGTGCGGCTGCCTCTTCAGCACACTGAGCCCCTTTCCTATGAGTGCAGACCCACAGAGGGTTTTCTGGGTCACATTCTATGAGTTTTTGAGGAACTTCCATGCTGTCTTCCATAATGGATGTATCGATTTACATCCCTACCCGCAGCATCAGTGCCCCTTTCTTGTATTCTTACCAGATGTTGATGAGGAGTCTTTTTTTTCCCCCTTTAGTGCTGGGGATCAAACTCTGGACCTGGTGCTTTCTAGACAGGTACTTACGCCACTGAACTATCTACCTTGCTCAACTTCTATTTCTTTATTGTGTGGATGCCCAGTATTCCCTTCACTGCCCATCAGCAACAGAAAAGTAACTAAAACACCCATTTTAAAAAACTAGCTTAAGGACTGGCCAAATAGCTCAGTGGAGTAAAACACCTGCAAGCAGGCGCAGGGGCCAGGGGTTTGATTCCCAGGGCTGCCGAGCTGGCCCGCCCCCAGGGCGCCCTGAGATGGCAATTGAGACTGGGCGTGGTGGCGCGTGCCTGTAATCCCAGCCCTTGGGAGACTGTAAACAGGTGGATCACTATGAGTCTGATCTAGTAGTGAGATCCAGAACACCCTGTAGACCCTTCCCTAAAAAAAACCAAAACAAAACACTAGCTTAAGAACGAGGGATATAGCTCAGAAGCATAAGCTCCTGCTTGGCAAGCAAGAAGGTCCCAAGTTCAATCACCAGTACTACAAAGTACAGAAATAAAAATAAAAACTAGCTTAGTTTGTTTTGTTTGCAGCTGTTTAGCTCGGCATACACAGTACTAATCCTTTGTTGGGTAATTAACGTGCCAAGCATTTTGTCTGACTCTATGCTTGCCTTTCCATGCTGCTGTATTATTCACTGAAGAAACTTCTTAGTTTTTTGTTGTTGTTCTTGGGTTTTTGTTTTTGATTTTTTTTTTTTTTTTAGAACCAGGGATTGAACTCAGGCCCCTGAGCTTGCCAGGAAGCACTTATTCCACTGAGCCATCTCCCCAGCCCCAAAACTTTGTAGTTTTTATGGTACATTTGTCTATTTTCATTTTTGTTACCTGTGCTGGGCCTGTGTTTGCCAAAAATTCTTGCCCATCCCAATATTCTGAAGTGTTCGCCCGTTTGCTTCTCATAATTTCGTAGTTTCAAGTCTCAAAGCTAAGTCTTTTTCCCTTTAGATCTCCTACGGGCTTCAGAAGTTTTTGTCTCATTTCACAGGGTTTGCCTTGACGCCTAATTTATCTGGTATTATATACAGCTGCTGCTGATCGTTTTCGCTTTCCATTGGCCAGGACTATCACTTCCCACCCTTCACTTTCAGTCCATGTGTGTTCTCGCCAGTACCCTGGCTTTCTGCCAGGCAGCGCGCACCGTGCTTCCCCATGCTCTCGCCCTCCTCTACTTGTCTTGGTGGCCTGCTGCTGTTCCGCCGCAACAGGCTCCGCTCACTGGCTTTCCTCACGGTGTGTCTGTCGCGCCTCGGAGCTACACTTCGGCGTGTCTTTGGTGGTGGTTCCCATCTGTTAGTTTTCCTTTTAAGATTCTCTTAAACTTTTCTTTTAAGGTGAGTCTAGCGGTGATGGAGTTGCTTAACCTTTGCTCATCTCAATGGCCTGGTAATTTTAAGAGAATGTTTTGTTCTCTCTTTTCAAGACAGGGTCTCACTGTGCAGTTCAGGCTGGCCTTGAGCTCACCAGGTTGGTCTTGAACTCACAGCGATCCTCCTGCCTCAGCCTCACGAGTACTGGGATCACAGGCATGTGCCATCGTGCCTGGCTTTTTAAACTACTTTGAAAGATAGTTATTTGGCATTTCTTTGCATTTATTTTAAGAATTAATTGATATGCTCAAATTTTCTACTTAAAAAGTTTTGATAATTTTTATGATGCAGTTGTGCTGTTTGTTTCAAGATATCCCTATTTTATCCCTGTCACCACTTTCTTTTTCAGCCTTCGCACATTTACCCTCTATACCCAATTAAGGATAAGCGATCAAAATGACACTTCCTGCTCTGAGCGAGTCTCCTGCCCAACTCATGCTCCTTCTGAGCTCTGTTCTCAGCCTCTCCTGACCGGCTCGCATCTTCAGATCCCAGCGCTAAGGTCCTCCTCCTCCACGAAATCTCTTCTATCTAGCCTAACCTTCATATCTTTCTTTTCTAGCCTGCTCCTCATTTACAAGCCTTATTCCCACTGCTATTCCGACACTACCTCCTTTACTTCTGTTTTGTGCATAGGAATCAGATCGATCTAACAATAATGTGGCCTAGATTTTTATTTCGTATTGTCCAGAGTGAAATACAGTCTATACCTAGTAAAAGAAAAGAAAAGCAATGTATGTCCTGAATTTGGTTTGCTGGGCTGGGGAGATGGCTTGGCAGTCTAAGCGTCTCCCTGGCAAGCGCAAGAAGCAGGGTTAGATCCCCAGTATGGCGAACTGTACCAGCCCTGGACACACAGAGCAGACCACCAAACCCGGGCACGGTGGCACAAGCCCGTAATCCCAGAGTTGGGGAGGCTGAGACAGGAGGATCATTATGAATCTGAGCTGCATAGCAAGACCCTGTGCCAAATAAATAAATAAAAGATTTTAAAAAATTGAATTTGGTCTGTTGATGAGAATCATAAATCATGCAATTTATATTTACATGTGTGTATATATTTTGAATTTCTAGATATCTGTATCTTAATAAAAATGTATGAATTTTGACAGAATAACCTAGAAAAACAAGATTATTTTTCTAGTTTAACCTCTTACTGAGAACTATGTCATCCTACATAATGTATATTAAAGTCTCTGTTAAAACAAAAGACTTTTTTTTCTAGTATTTAAACTTTAGTCTTTACCTTCATATGGAGAAATACATTGTACCTGAATATAAAGCTCAAGTTTGAGAGGCAAAGGGAATAAAAGCGAGCAGGCGGAGCCTCGCCAAATCTTTTAACTTTCCTGTCTTCTTTATAAAGTGTTATTGGTAACATATCCGTTTCAGAGAAAGTTTTTTGAGGATTAACTCAAATATTATATGTAAAAGTATTTAAAGAACCAGACAGCTTGTAATTATACGAAACACTCCAAAGGTAAATATTCAAGCACGAAGTAGTCATCAACACAGACCCAGAAATGATGTCTGAGGTACTTTTCTGTTTCTCTGACGCTTAGGCAGAGTATTCTCAGCGCATACAAGGATACAGAAGACCGCTGAATTCTTCCATCTTTTATCCTGTATTCAGCAACCAAGCTAGTGCTCACAAAAGGGAGAAAGACTCTACTCCATTTACAGGTATACGAATTGCCTCTCTATATCAAAATTGCTTCAAGTGAAGTGCTGCAAAATTTAGTGTGAAGAAGCTCTTGTACCAAGGAAAGGGTTAAGATTTGATCAGAGCCCTGACGGGGCAGTAGTGGGCAGCAGCCGAAGGTCTGCTGCACACAGCGTGGAGCACCCCCGGGCACGTCGCACGCCGTCTCTCAAGCCCTTCCTTCTCTCTTTCACCGTCTGCGCCACACTGAACCTGTGACAGGCTGTTTGGAGTCCTAGAGATTTGATTAACCCTGGGCTCTAAGCAGACGTCTCAGGCTCCTTCTTGTTCACCTTGAAGTGGAGACTTTGGGTTGCCCGGAAAGTCTGACGACAGCTGCCTCAAACAAAGATGTTTGTTACTTCAAATAACAAGAAGTCTGTCAGTAGGACGGACCGTGTCCGGGGAATGCAGAGCAGTAACAATGTCCTCGAGGGTTACTTCTTCGCGCTTTTCTCTCCTGTCTTAGCAGGGGCCTTGCTCTCGTAGGCTTGCTCCACTGTGGTGACTACTACTGAGAGAACCGTGGCTAACAGCACCCACGAAAAGAGAAAGCTTTTTTATCTCTTCGTAAGAATGAGAAAAGTGGGCCTGGAGGCCGCGCGGCGCCCAGGACGTCACCCTGCGCGGGGCGGGGGTAGGGGTGGGGGGTGACCGTCTGCGGGACCCGCATCCTTCCGTCGCACCGCGCTGGCTCCCGGGCGAGGGTGCCACGTGCCCCCCGCCCGCCCGCGCCCGCCCAGCTCGCTGCCCGTCAAAAGACTGCAGGAAAAGCCCACTTTTTCCCTTTCTAGACCCAGACGCCAAGATGAACGGCAACCTATTTGCTAGACTGGACAGGCTTTTGTTAGAATTTGGTAGGTATTCAAGGAAAGGAACAGGCAGCTGTGATGTCGCTTGGCACTTTAACAGTGAAATAAAGTCACAAAAGGATTGTTTTAGTTTTCCAGTGCTAGCAAGACACAAGTACTAAAGAAGAAATAATCCAAAGAATTAATAAATGCCTTGAAGATATAAAAGAAAGCAAAGAAACCATTTGTAAAATACAAGAAGGAATAAATAAAACAGATGAGGAAATTACTCATTACTGTAAACATAATGAGGATATCAAAGACAAATGTATTAACTGGAAGCCAACATATGATGTTTTTCATAAACATGAAGATTATATGCAGGGCCAATATACTATTTATCAAGAAACTATTGAAAAAGACAAAAAAAGTATCATGGTTATGTAAGTCAGTTTAAAGATGTTTTAAAGCATTACCAACTAAAATACTCCGAAATGCCCCTTTCACGTGACTATTATGAGAAGAAAAGAGAATATGAAGAAATTAGAAGTCGAGTGTCAGCATGTACTGAGCAACTAAAAACAAATGAGACGATCCTTACGCAACTTACAGTGCCTGCACCCTTTCCATCTCTTTCTAAGTGGACATTACACATAGTTAATTTGAGATTCAAAACAAAAGATATCCTTAAACATGTCAACAATTTTACCAAAAAATCATCTGAATTGAAAACAGAAATAAATGAAGCAGAAATAGAAATTAATTATTTAAACAAGGAGATTGCAAGACTTTATCAGAGTAAGAATCTTTCAGAAACTCTGGAGGAAAACAACAAAAATACAAGAAAGAGAAAGAAATTGAAAGAAAGAATTTTTGAAAAAGATGAGCATGCATTCAGCAAAACTCTTCAAGGGAGTCAGTTATATCTGCCTTATGAATCTCCGAAATTAGTAAGACCAATAAAGATGCAATCTTCAGAACCAGAAGTTACAGATGAAGAAGAAGAAATTTTTATGAAGCAGTCAAAGCTTTCCAGGACTGACTTTAGACAAAAAGAAAATAATACACAGGATGTGTGTGCAGAACCTAGTGGCAAAGTAGAAGGAATGACTACGAATTTTCCACGAACTCCTGAAATTCCTTCGTTTTTAAGAACTGAAGCCATGACAACAGCAGAATCTTTGGAGAAAGTGCAGCTACCTAAAACTCCCTTATTTGAAATAAATAGAATTACAGTACCTGAAGGTCAATCACAAACGGAATCTTCTGGATTTTCATTTCTTATGAGTTATAGTTCTAGATCACCTGGATTGAATTTATTTGATTCTTCTGTATTTGATTCAGAAACATCATCAGAACAGCCTGGTGAACATCATCATTCTGCAGTAAACTTCAATCCTCCATCATCACAAGAAATTGGAAACTTATTTGGAAAACGAAGAGAAGATGTGTTTACATTTTCTTTTCCATCTGACACTTCCATGTGGACATTTGGAACTAGAAAAGATGATTTTGTTTTTCCATTTTCTTTTGAACAGGATCAAAACTCTATACCTTCCTCTTCAGAAGCTTTTTCATCTTCTTCACAAAATACAACACAATTTAGTCTTTTTTGACCCAGTTCTTAGTTTTTTAGAATTATTTTAGTCTCTAATCATCTTGGTCATACATTTACATTATTACTGAAAACGTGAAGATACTTCCTTTTGTTGATTAAAGTAATAGTAGATTACTATAGTTTCCACCCTAGACATACCTGATTTCATCTGCTGAGAGCAATAATTCCTTCAGGCCATCAGATCTTTCAGTGCTGACTGTACATTAATGCTAAAATGTACTTTAACAACTAGATTCATTTAAAATTACTAGTTTTCATTTTTGCAGGATACAGAATGGTATTTTAGTAATAATTTCAAACAATTTATGTTACAAACAGTGAATAAAGTTATTTTCTTCAAAATATGACAAATCATAAAATTTTTATTTTAATCAGTTATGTTAATATCTTTCATGGAATAAAATGAAACATCTGAAAATTGAAAAAAAAAAAAAAAAAGAATGAGAAAGTGTCGCACCTCAGCAGGTGCAGTCCTCTTGTGTCTCCTTGGCTAGACCATTCCCGGGCATTTGTACCTGAACACACACATCATTACTGGTTTAGATCAGGTTTTTCAAACTTACTCATAACAACTCACAAAAAGAAAGACCTTTTATGTCACAACCCAGCAGGCCTCGGGGAGCCCTTAGAAAGATAAAAGCAGCGATGTGAGGTGAAGCCGATTAGCTGAATGGAATCCTTCCTGTCTTTCTCGGGATTAGCCGATATCTTTGCGTCTCCTTCTGCTGTCCTGAAGGATGCGTGGGTTGCCTTCCATCATACTTTATTCCACTTCATTTTTTAAAAGCTTGGTTTCACCAAGACACGAATGGAGTGAGCTCACCTCCTGGAAAGCGTACGATGAGATCACTTGAGACTTGCTCCCTTGAGCCCAGAGGGGTCGAGCCTGCTTCCAGGAGCAGCTTTCTGAGGAGGTAAGATCGGAGGCCGGGGAGGACCGTGGGGAGATGGCGAGGTGGCCACCCGCTGTCCACCCACCTCCCTGCCCTCTGTGCCATCGTGTCACTCCATAGTGGTGCCTCAGAGTGCAGCGGACACCGTCCTTTCAGCAGAGCACATCCCTCTCTATGAAACTTCCTGAGTCCTTTACAGAAGCATTTTGTACACTTACTGTAAGTCACCCAAGTCCCATTTTATGTGTTTCCTTCTGCAAAAGGAGCCACAGCGCAGTGAGGAGTCCACTTCGGGATGTTCTCCAAAGCTCTGTCCTTTCTGCTTGCTGCTGTCTATTCCATCGCCCTTCCAAGGAGCACTTTTTCTGAAGTCTGATAAGTAGCTGAGATACAGTAATTCAGGGAGATGTGCCTGTCCAGGTTTTGTGGCTGCCCAGGGTGATTTTTGCCTGATCAGTGTTTCAAAGACTTCTCCGTGTGGCTGGGCCTTCTGGAGGGAAGAAAATAAGACAGAGGAAAGCATCCACCCAGAGGGAGGACTTGGACCTCCTCCTGTCTGTCTGCAGGAAAACCACGTGAACATATACGGCCAACCTGAATAAGGTCGTGACGCTCTCACTGTCTACAGTACCGCTTCTTCCTTCTCCAGTCTCTGTCCACTTTCCAGTGTGTTGAAGAAAATTGTAATGGATCTATGTAGAAGATTTTATTTCCTAAAAGCCTTTTACCTATTGCACTGTGTAGGACCCTTCTCCTTTGACTGGAGGGATAGGAAGTTACCTGACTCTACACTGAAAGATTATGCAAAAGAAATGACAATAACAGGGATATGTTGTGTTCATGTTCTGGCTGTGTCTAGCTGTCCCCTCAGGCCCTCATGGAGTCACAGGTGGGGCTTTTTCTGAGGCAGCCTGGGTGAGGCGTAAGGGACAGGAAGAGCTGCTTGGGGCTGCTCCCTGGCTTGCCGTGCTGCCCTCTGCTGGCCCTGTGCTGCTTCTCCTCTGCCATGCCACCCTCGTGGAGCCAGCAGACAAGGGACTGAAACTTCTACACACTGTGACCCCAGTAAAACTTTCCTCCCGCGCCTTTGGGCTCTGGGCATTTTAGCTCTGCAATGAGAAGAAGTAACCAAGACATTTAGCTTTTCAAAAAATCAAAGTCCCAAATTGAGACTTCTGAGAAAGCTGAAAAAAATCAGTACAAGTTCATCCTGTACAAAATTAATGACAAAAAGAAAAAATAGAGAAGCATTTATTAAATTACATGTATATAAGACATTTATTCTGGATGCAGAGAATATCTGCCATGGGTTACAAAATAAGACACTTGAAAGGCTGTTCCAGAACACAATGCACAATTGCACTTCCTGAGGAAAAAGAGCAGCATTGACAGAGTGAGCAGAAGACAGTCGGACAGTGGCCAGGCCGAGCAGTACGGGCCTGTGTTCCCGGTACGTGGGCTGTGGGGGCCGAAGGGTCGCTGCCAGTTCAAGGCCAGCTTGCACTACATAGCAAGACCCTGTCTCAGGAAACAAACAAAAAAACATTCTCAGGAGATCCACACAAATACGTGCGTCACCAGGCAGCCAGCTTATCAGTGACGGGGCAGAGAGCGGGGAGCTCTTTGTGGGGCCCCGTCCTCTCTGCAGGCAGACATCGCTCCAAGGCTGTAGCAGCCACGGCAGCCACGGCCACTTATCTCTCTCTGGCTTTCCACCATCACTTCCGTTGTATTGAGCTTTACAGTGTAAGAAGATACTAATGGCCTCACTTAGAGGAAGAAGGCCTGGAATCGGCTGGCACCAGAGGAGGTGCTCACCGGTTTCCTCGGAGCCATCTTTGAGGCTGCTCTGAAGGAAACAGCAAAGAGAAAGCCAGCAGCCATGGGGCCTTTTCTGGCCTAACTTCCTCCCCACACTGAGTTGCTTAGCCCTAAAGAGAGGAAGAGAAGAAGTTGACAGATCCAGGTAAAAAGGGAGAGAATCCAGGGCTGTTATTTTTGGACAAATTGGAAACCCTCTTTTAAATGAGCTAATTCAAAGATGAGTAGAAAGGAAAACAGGGCTGGGAATATAGCTCAAGGGCAGAGCACCTGCCTGACAAGCACAAGGTCCTGAGTTCAATTCCTGGCAAAAGAAAGAAAGAAAGAAAAAAATATGAAATCTGTGCAAAAACTTTTTTTTTTTAAATATAAGCAGAACTAACTTTATAGCAACATTTAAGATCAAATTAAATCTTATGTAAGGAGCACAGCAAGAGGCAACTTCTATTTAATTCAGTAGACACAGCGTTTAACAAACATCTATTAGGAAGCCTCTCTTCCCATTACTCACCCTTAAAAGCTGACATTTTAAAATTGTGTTGAATACCAGCAACTATATCCTTCCAAAAATCAAATGTTTTTTGACTACTGTTCTGCTAAAAAAGAAATGTCCAAATGTAACACTTGCAGTAATTTTGAGTATAAGCATAGGGGAAAATGCTGGCAAATAATTACTGTATTACTGAACAATAAGACAGGGATTTATGTTTTAGTAAAGGTAACAGGTTGATAAAGTTTTCATCCTATTTAGTATGCAGGATTCTTTCGCCCCACTTTCTAACTAAATATTAACAGCTAATATAGCCCAAATAAAATCAGAATTGCCACTTATTATAAAGTCTACAGGTTACAGAAGACTCTTTTATTTTATTCTATTTTTTTGTGGTACCAGGGAATGAACTCAGGACCTTGCACTTGCCAGGCAAGTCCTTTTTCTACTGAGCTATCTTCCCTGGTTACAGAAGCCTTTACACACATAAGTGAATTTACAGTGTCTTATGGTTTATGAATTCTGTGAATCTATTACTTCATGTACTCTGGCGTCAATGTGGCCAAGAAGCCTATAAAGCTCTAAAGCCTCAAATGCTGGTTATTTCAGAACTCAATGCCCACTTAACCTGAATTTCAACATAAAACAATAGATCAATATAGAAGAAATGAATGAGGTTTCAAATCTAAAATTTGAATCATTTCTATTAAGATATTTTAAAACCAGAAAACAAGTATTATACTAAAGAATACAGCTTATAGCCCTTTGCTTCCATGGAAACATTAATAGCATCCTCAATCATTCTTAACAGCATGTAAACTACAAAATACTTAAAGATGCAACTTGGGCTGTGGGTGTAGGTCAGTGCACAGCGCTCATCTGCACTGTGTGAGGCCCCATGTCTGACCTCCAACACTCTCAAAAAACAAAAACAAAAAAAAAACCCCAAAAAACAAAAAAACCCAAAAAGACAAACATTTTGTTTATAGTAACTATGAGACACAGATCCCATTTCATGTTAAAAAAAGATGAAAAAAGAGATGTATGAAATACACTAAAACTACTGTTTAATAGAAATTTTCACGGACACACAGCTGTAGTTCTAATTAAAAAGCCATTCATATGCACACTTATGACTTTAAAAGGCAACATATGCAAAAGGGAAAGTCATTCTGACATGTAAATATTTCTATGTACAGATCTAAAGTTTTAAGTATAAACTGCTAAAACTAGAGATCTATTTCACTTTGATTCATAGCACAAAGCAAGTCTACACACTTTACATTGCTTAAAACGATGAATTAAAAAATTTCACCTCATTTTTCTGTTTTATACTTTTCACAATGCTTGAAAAGTTTGAAACACATGGAATATGAATTACTTTTAAGTTTTATTCTGCTAAGGAAACCAAGAAAATATTTGTCCACATCGTGTTCTGTATTTTCTTTTTCTACACTCTTGCACCCTCTGCAGGTTTATTTTCGGGGGTGGGGTGGTCACTGCTATTTAATTTTCTAAAAATATTTTCACCAAATTCACCATGTTTTTCTTCTTCAGTCACCCCTTTGTTAAAGAATCCACCACCCTGGCACATAAGAGAGCTCCTGGCAGGTCAAAATAGTTATCATAAAAATAATATTTCCCTGGGTGGCTGGGCATGCCAGTGTCAGACACGAAGTACTTCCACTCCTGCGCCCCATACTCTTTGGCTAGCTCGTCAGGAGCCATCATCTTGGTGCCACGACTTGCCCTGAGCACAGTGCCATTATCTGCAAGTTTAATGAAGGTTCCATCTTCTAGGTCCAATGCCAAACCTTTGCAACAGAAATCCCAATCCTCTGGGGTTACAGTGAGCATTTCTTTATCATACCCTTTCTCCTTGACTAGGAACCGAGCAAAGCTATTATAAATGAGCGGGGCGCTTTCGGGCAGATTGTAGCGACACAGAGTGTGGTCCAGGTCGAAGCCAACCACGTCGCAGGCGGCCAGGGAGAAGTGCTGAGCCATGGCCGCGCGGGGGCGCAGGCTAGTGCCTGCGGCCGGGAGGAAAGAGAAGGAGCGGGAGGGCCTCTGCGGGGCGAGGCCCAGCCCTGTGCAAAAACTTTGTAGCAAAAAAGGGAAATAATTTAATAGGCATCTTGATGGCCACCTTTTGACAGAATTTATATCTCATGGAACAAGAGAAAATTTAGGAAGTAACTGTTAATACTTTTTTAAATTTTTAATTGTTCTATAGTTTGAGAAGCTAAAGAACAATAAAAATTCTATGAAACGGCATTGTAAAGAGTAATTTAATAAAATCCTCATGGGCAAAATGATGCCATTAAAGCTAAAGATACCCTAAATCCACAGCTTAGAGAAGGGCTTGCGCAGCCCAGCAGCCCAAGGTCCGCGGCTGCGGAGGAAAGCGGCGTCTGCGGGCAGCGGCTCCCCTAACGCGCTGGGAGCGGGAGGACCCTGCGAGGGCGCCCCGCCATCCAATCGCCAGGAAACCCGGCTCTGCGCGCGCGGGGCCTTTGTGCGACGGTGTGGACCTCAAGCGTGTAAAGTCTCTCAGACTATGTTTGTATTCGGTCCTAGCCCAAGAATAAAGCCTGGCAAATCTTGTCCGCTCCAGAAGTGCTTCCCGAGTAGCTGCCGCGTATCCTTTTGTTATCTTGAAGGGTAAAGCATGTTGTGCGGTGTATTTTCTACATGCCGTAACCTATATGTCTTTTATGAAGATCTTTTACAATTTCAGTTCAACTTGAAAACAAAACCAGCAAATCACTGGATTCCACTGGCCATTTGGAAGGCTCTGGAAATAAAAGGTAATGTCCTTTTTACACATTAGTCTCGTATTCTATGCACTGATGTTTCCGCTAGGGTGAAGCCCGTTTTTGCAATAGATGAGAAAGAATTGCGGCACCGCGTCAACGTCTTGTCCCGCAGTGCCGTGCGGTGAGCGGTCCAGGACAGCGCAGCCAGCTCGCAGCGGGTCAGGGTCTTGACCCAGCCAGGCGGGGGCAGGTTGCGAATAGGCAGGAAAAGCAATTAGCCCTTGCAGTCGACATGCAGAGGTAGTTAACTACACCACCGCACGGGTGTGAAAAAGTAGCTCTTTAACCTTCCGCACGACTGTCTGCTTGTTTTCCTGAGCGCCTCCACCTCTGTCTAAGGAGCAGGCTTCCACGAGCTCAGGGTGAGGGACTTCGTGAATGGTGGGCACTGAGCAGAGATGCCTGAGCGAGGGTCCTGGGTCGGCATTCTGTGTTCTTTTTTCTTTTCCTTTTTTTTTTTTTTTGTATTTTTGAGACAGTCTCACTATGCAGTTCAGGCTGGCCTTGAACTCACTTTGTAGCCCAGGCTGGTCTCGAACTCACAACAATCCTGCCTCATCCTCCTGAGTGCTGGAATTACAGGTGCATCACCATGCCTGGCAGCGTCCTTGTGTTCTGCCAGACTGGTGGCATCTGGCGCCACTCCTGTCACATGTGGTCTGCTCTCGGGGCTCGGCTGCATCCTTCGTTTCTGCTCCCCTTAGATGAGGCTGGCTGTCCGCCAGCATGAACCTCTGCTGCGGGCCACCTCCAGCCACAAGGACAGATTCAGTGTCCACGTCCCACATGAGGCTTTCTGGGGAGACCTGGAATGGAAACTGTCCCATGCTCTTAGCCAGGCCAGGGCCACCCTCTGTTGGCACAAAGCTCCCTTGAGGGTTGACAGGGGAGGTGACCAGTGCCTGGGGTTCTCCTCCTCTACTCGATTCTCTCACTCGTCGTGCCCTGCTCCCTGCTCCCCTGCTCAAAGCCCAGAAGCACATGCGTGGCTTCCACCCCTGCTTTTGCCATTTGCTCCCACAAACCAGCGCAGGACAAGGTGGCTTCAGGTTGACAGTTGATGTGGTGGCAGTGTGGGCAGTGGATTCTGGGAATAGGGAGAGGCAGGCACGAACCAACAAGCTGAAATCAGCCCTGGAGCCAGTGCCCTTCTCCCTTTCAGAAACAGACCTCTGGCGAGTGACTTGAGGTCCGAAGAAAAGCAGGCAGCCGTAGGTGACCAGGCCAGTGCGTGGTGTTCAGCGAGAAAGGTCGGCTTGCTGCCCCTGTGCTTTGAGGATGAACTGAAAAACCCAGACGCCAAGATCATCCCCGCGCCTCCGGTGGCGGCATCGGCCAGGAGCGCACCACCTTCTCACGGGGTAACGTGGATGTTTGCTGCTGCCTGCTGAATACGCAACCTCTGTGAAGGCTGCAAAGACGACTGCCTGATGGGTCCAGAGGGGATCACCCGAGTCTAGCCCGCCGCGCCCCTTGCCGGGGGAGACGAGCCTTCCATGTTCTGTTTTGCAGGCTGGCAGTCGACCTCCGGGCTGGTGCACTAAGCTACCACCCTGGTCTTTTTTTTTTTTAGAAAAGTTCTTGCTAAATTGCCCAGATTGGGCTCTAATTTGTGATCCTCCTGCCTCAGCCTCTCGGCATCCTGAGATTAGAGCACAGCAGAGATAACACTTTGGTCCTGGCGCCCTCCCTCGAGCAGTTTCCACGACCCTTACTTTTGCACAGTTCGGCTTTTTCTGAACAGGGGAATCCCTGTGGGGAAGTGGCAGCGAACCTGTGGCATCTGTGAAGGTGCTGCAGGGTCCATGTCCCCACCAGAGGTGCCGACTGGCAGAGCACAGGGCACAGAGAGCCTGGCACACATGGTTCCTGCCTCACCTGAGCCACAGAGACTTGTCAGCTGAAAACGGCTGCCGGCATGGGATGAGCTAAGCCACGAGAGCCTTCCACGCGTGGCAGCTGCGCCAGTGGCCTTCTCGTCGCCAGTGATGTGCAAAGCTAGATCTTGGCACACCTCTTCAGTGACTGTAGGCATTGATGTACCTTTTATACCAGAACACACTGAGTGATGACCCCGGTTTCCTATTTCACCAGTTGCATTTTAAAAGAAAAAGTGAAAATTATTGACTTAAAATCTGTAAACTAAATATTGATAATATGCAGATTCGATGAGTGTCTTTGGAGTTGATCTTTTTACTGATGGCAAAAGGTAGGGTTTGTGAAACCTAACGATGGAAATACAGGAAAAAGCTTGAGAAGTGGCTCCTACGGACAGACTTTGGTACTACTGTGATGAAAATGATAAGGTTTTCAAGTCAGCCTATTAATTTGTCTATTTTAGTCCACAAAAATACATCGAGCGCTTGTGTGCCGAGTACTGTGCCAACTTCTGGGGCACATTAGCAACTATTATAGGGACAGTCTGTGCACTGCGGGGCCCAGACACTGGAATCTTGGCTTGTGGCCGTGTATGTCTGTCGTGCTCTTTGACTCAACCCATGTGTTGGAGTGGCGTGCGCTTTGTCCTTTCCAGAACACGCAGATCTAAGAAATGCCAGCACAGCGCTCCATCTGCCAGCTCGCTCGTAACCCAAACAGTTCAGAAATGCATTTATTTCTTCATATCCCATTTTATTTCAAAAAGGATTTTAAAAGCACAAAGGTTCAAATTGTATGCCTGCCACCTGTATGGAATATGGAGAAGGTATTCTACACACCCCTGCCAGCCCTGGCAGGGGTGTGTAGAGGCTGAGGCAGGAGGATTGTGCTGAGTTTGAGGCCACCCTAGACTCAATGTTATCTCAAAAAAACTATTGAGCAGGACTTATATACAAGTGTCTTGGTTTTGTGTATTTGAGTACTACTGCTCATCTTAAATACCATTGTGTAGCCATTTTCCGAATATTTTACAATCTTATTTTCATTTTTAAAATTATAAGTAGCCTCAAAAGATTCGTGACTAAGTACACTTTTCTTTAATCCACAGGTACAAGATGACAAGAAACCCATAATTTTCCATGATACACAATATGTACAAACATTGCTTTTGACAAAAAATACCTTTACTGACCACATTTTGGACAATGAAAAAAATCATCCATGTAAAAGGACAAATTTTGTCTTGGAAAGAAATTACGAAATCCTCAACTCTTTAATTAATGGTGAATCTGTTACTCTTTTGAAGCCCAAAAAGGCAATGCACATGGCAGGGGGAAGATATTTACAAGTTAGGTCATGTGAAGAGGGCCACAGAACCACAAAGAATAAGCCAAAGAAGAGTAAGGACCAGACGCTCGACACCAGGCCTTGGAGTACTCTTCACAACGCTTCCCAGACACTTTCCAGCTTGAAAAAAAAAACTGTGGATTACCTCAATAAAACTCCTATTGGAGAAAGCAGCGCTGCGGCTGGCAGGTTTAGAAGGATGCCTTCCGCAGCGAAGCCGACAGTCCCACCCAGATTCAGGGCCTTGTTTCTCCGAAGTCATTCAAAGCCTTTAAGAAATATATTTGACCTACGTAAATTAAATAATGCAACGCCATTGGACGATTTGTTACACTTCCCAAAAGGAAATTAAACAATTCCTAAGCTATTGTGTATGCAGCAACATTGGGGCGACAAGATGCAAGAAACGAGGTTCCACATTCACAGAAGTCCTTACCCGAATAGCAGTGTTCCCCTGGGTAGTGCAGGAAGCAAAGCATGAAATTGGAGTCAGGATGGACAGTGGTCTGGTCAGCAGCAGTCAGCAGCCTGACCAGCTGTCATCGGGCCACAGGGAAGCCTGCTCCTGACCCAGAATGGTGCAAGTGGACTGGACATTCGCACTGGGAAGCTGAGTCACAGATCAATAATCTTGCATTATTGTTGGCTATCAAAAATAAATGTTGTTGACATAATAAGCGTGGAGTTAATCATGTAACAGCATTTTATAGAATCCTGGGGGAAAATTATGACACTAGCAATTTATACAATCAAAAATACTTTGTAAAACTCTAGCTTTTTTTTTTTTTGCTAGCAATGTTAGAACTTATTTAAGACTTAAAATACATTATTACATTGCTATATTGCTGTTTCTCATTAACTTGTCATTAACTGAAATACTATACAAAGGCAGGATTCATCTTTGAAATAAATTATAGTTCAAAAGTTCATTTGTAATCTGTTTCCTTGGAATTTAAAATGTAATTCCTATAACAATAATCTTGGAGCTATGGGGGTGTCACTCAGTGGTAGAGTGGTTTGCTTATCAGGTACAAAGCCTGGGTTCACTCTCCTGCATAGGAAAAATGTACCTTGGCGGCCAAGGAGATAGCTCAGTGGCATAAGGACCCGTCTGGCAAGTGCGAGGTCCCAAGTTCAATTGCCAGTATCACACACACACAAAAAAATTTCTTGGAATTGTAATTAATTCCAAATTACCCCACATAAGACTAATTAACTTGCAACTTTATCTCATAATGTTTATGAGAAAAGAGAAAAAGTGATGACTTTTTAAATTCCAATAATTAAAAAAAGAGAACAATAAGAAAATGATTCTTTCAACCTTAAGCTTTAGTACTGTGGAGAAGCAGGTTGGGCTACAGGTCAGCGGTGGCCGGCCCACACACACGTTCCACAGCAGGATGTCCACGTCGTTCAAAGCCCTAAAGGCTTCGTGACCCATCTAGGCCAGGGCAAAGCTTGGGGGGGGGTCTCTACACTTTCTGGGGTGAGCAAGTGAGCTGCCCCAGCTGTTGTGGGGTGGACGCGGCTGAGGACCCCGTGCTCTTGCACAGTGTGAGCAGGAGTCGAAAGCAGCTACTCATTGTCTTAGTTACTTTTTACTCATTGCTGGGACAAATACCCAATACTCAAAATGAAAGAAGAAAAGGTTTATTTAGCTCACATTTACTGGAGGGTTCAGTCCATATTCCATTGGCTCCGAGGCAAAAGACAGCAGTTCATGCAGCAGAAAACAATGAAGAGCAGAAGAGGAGCAGCAGCTGCAGCGGCGTCCATCAAGCCTCTCTCTTCCTTCTGCGCTGACTGCGAAGACCAGCGCTCCACAGTGAAGATCGGAGCTCCTCCAAAGTGGCGCAGGTCTAAGATCAAGCTCCTCCCAAGACTGGTGGGCAGGGCTGTAGGAAGCCTTTCTCAGTTCCTGGGCCCTGCCCACCTGCAGGGCTAGGCCCCCACGCTAAGAACTGCCCGAGCTGATTCAGCCAAGTTGACACAATGTATCAACTAACACACTCGCCCCGAAGCGTGGGAGCCTGGTGCTGGCAGGACAGGGAAGCAGACATCGCTGCACACAGCCAAATCAGGCTTTCAAAATCTAAGATTCATACTCCAGCCTGGGCGTCTTCCACTCGGTCTTGGTAAGAGTGACAGGAATGATGGACAGGGTGCCGAGTCATCTCGGGCTCTCCACACACACATCTGTTCCAGAATTCACTGTAGCCATAATTAACTGTGTGAGACGTATCATATACTCATGAACTCTTAGGAAGCTTTGAGTAGAGGCAGCAGAAGGTCAGGCCAGGGGATTGAACACATGCTCTATTCCTGGGCTCTTCTTCGCTGCCTCTCTCCAGACAGTGCCCAGAGGAATAGCCCTACGGTGCTGTCCCAACTCAAGTGAACGAGGGAAGTCCTTTCTTTAGCTCCATTGCTCTAACTGCACTAAGCTGGTTACACCCAGTCAAAGGCAGTCAGCTCCATACCAGGCCCCGGTAAAGCGAGTGGCTTGTTACACTCGCCCAAGTGTCTTAGTTACTTTGCTCTCATTACAGGGACAAAATACTGAATGCCCAAAATTAAACAAGAGGATAAGTTAGCTCAGTTTGTGGAGGTTTCAGTCCATAATCAGCTGGCTTCAAGGCAGGGTGGTGTAGTGAAGGACAAAAGTTTAAGGCAGCAGAGGACTGCAAAAGCAACAAGAGTACAAAAGGGGGAAGTGTACAGGCTCTCCACCCACCCAAGGGTGGGCCCTTCACACCCACACCATCCCCGTGCCCCAGCTTGCACAGGCTCAGGATGCTTTCAGTGAGGCCCCTGGCCCCCTGCTGAGTTGCCTACATTTGCAAATCTTTCCAGTTGAAAACCGTTATGCCAGGTAAGGCAGATGCCTGCAGAATTCAATCATGGGATTTCTCTGCTGAGCTTCTACATTCAGAAGGAGCAGGGTACTCGGTAAATATCTGCATGCTCCGGACTCAGCTGTTCCCCAGATGAGGGACCCTCCACTTGGACCCAGTAGCAGAGTCCTGCACAGGTCCCGTGGACCTCTCAACTGTGGGCCGGACGGTCTCAACAGCTCAAACTGTGTCACCTTTTACCTACCTTGGCATCTGCCTGCCGCTTGCTTTCTCTGAATTGGAAGGACAGGCATTATTTTCTAGGCCCCCTGAACATCCACCCAAACCCTCCACTGCATTTCCCCCAAAGCTTGTCAAAGATGGTTCTACCACACAAAGTAATGCCTGAGATTTTACACGAGCGCCCAATCGGTGCTTCTGGAGTTGGGAGAGTTTTCCTGGGCAGCTCTGTCTCACGTCTTCGGCTGCCTGGCATCTGGCACAGTGGGAATATGGACAGGGTGACAGGAGAGACTGCTAGGACAATTCAAATGATTCACATGTCCACAAGCTCTCCTTGCTTCCTGTACTGAGCACTGGGCAACTCAGATCGCAGTCCCCAGTTCCCTGTCTTATGAAAGTTCAGAGCCCCGTGCATCTACACCCACCGCCACTCCTATAGCACCAGCCTGCACTGAGCCCGTGCCCTGCTTGGGGCTAGGGTTTCCTGGAAATGTAACTCGGTTATCTACCCACAGAGAATGCCTTTTCTTTTCTCTTTCTTTCTTTCTTTCTTTCTTTCTTTCTTTCTTTCTTTCTTTCTTTTTTTTTTGTGGTACCAGGGATTGAACTCAGGACCCTATGCTTGCCAGGCAGGCACTTATTCTACTGAGCTGTCTCCCTGGCCTGAGAATGCCTCTTGTTAAGCTACCACCCGGAGAAGTGTGGGATTGTGTGCCCTTACCTTTACCTCTCCATAAGTGCATGTGGAAACCTTCCTTCCGGTTACACAGAGTGATAGGTCTTTAGCACATGAAACTAAATATGCAAGGTACGATTAAAAATGGGATGAATGTTTAACAAAAACAATTTATTACAGTACAATGCATTGCCATGAATCCCCCCAAACGTTCCCTCGGGGTTCACACACATTTATCCAATTGTACTTGCCATTTCTGATAGGTGATAAAATGAGAACTTGAAGGTTACATATTCTACTGTAGGGAAATCAGTTATCTTTGTAGGGATGAATTTGTTTTGTTATGGACAAGAATGCTTTGAACTGTTCTTGGCTTTCTCAAGTTACCCTCTTCTAAGCAGCTAGTCGACGACGTTCTCACAGACCTAATTTATGGTCCATTTCAATCCTCCACTGAAGACGCGGCCTCTTAGTTCCAAACACTGTTTGTTTCAAGCATTTCTCTTCTGCCTCGATGCCATTCGGATGCGCCCAACACCACAGACAGCTCATCTGTCTCTGAAGCCAGGTGTCTGGAGTCACACAGGCTTGTGTGAAGAGAAGAAATTGCAGTTCAGTACACAAAGGGAGAACTGACACCAGCCATGGTTAAAGCCAGGGGATAAGAGTCACAACAAATCCTGTTTGCTGCTTATTTTACTCTAAGGAATTCCTTTGTTACGGACATTCTCTGCCCAGAAAAGAGGGAGGACTGTGCATGTTTGGCTGGAGCAGGGAGGTGATAAGAAAGAGGAGACGCACTAGTCAGACAAGTGTGTGACTGTAGGCTGCACAGTGGCATTTCATCTGCCAGCGTGCTACAGAGGGACAATAGTTCACCTGACCCAGCACCACTTTTCTATGAAAACTTAGGTCTGCATTTAAGGTACAGGCTCTCTGTTTCAGATGTGAACTACTCATTCAGGGCCCTAATTACTGTCGATGCCTCTTGTATTCAGGGGTTTACAAGGGAAAGCAATACAATACAGGACACTTAATTATGAGATTATTTTATTATAGTCATCCAAAGAGTCATGTACAAAGAGAGTACAGGAAATCTGTCCACGCACTGCAGACCAAAGGCTCCAGCTGCGGGCCTGCACCCATGGCAGTGTCCTGCATGGGTCCGGCTGAAGACCTAGAGCCCACAACAGTGCCCCAGGGAGCCCATCTGGAGGCCTGGAGCCCATGACAATGTCTCATGCAAGCCTGTACCCAGGATCTGTGCTGGGAAGGCCCAAAGGTGGAAGCTAGAAAGTCTGCTCCAGCGGGATGAAGGATCTGAGCAGGCAGGCAGGCTGAGGGGTCGGTCCTGGAGCCAGGAAGCAATGCTCAAGGTTGCTCCCCCCAAAAGTACCACAACCATCTTCAGTGACAGTATGGTCCCGAGCTTCTCCAATGATGAGAAAGGCTGAGTTGGTACCAGGAAAACCAGCACAACGTTTCTCCAGGAGATTGAACAGTGCACTATCTTCTCCTCTGGAGCCCGGAAGCAGTGCGCTAAGTAGAGGCCAGAGCTCTTCCAAAGTGGGCCGCAGCCGTTCCCAGTGACACCAAGGACCTGAGTTCCTTTGACAACGAGAACAGCCAAGTTCATCAGGAAAGCCAGCATGACAAGCTCCTCCACGAGAACCAGCAGCTCAAGAGAGCCAGCAGCTCACAAGAGCATCTGTCTTAGTTACTTTTACTCGTTGCTGGGACAAATACCCGACACACAAAATGAAGGAAGGAAAGGTTTATTTAGCTCACAGTTACTGGAGGTGGTTCAGTCCATATTCCTCTGGCTCCAAGGCAA